AATCACCAGCTGATACTTCCTTGTTCTACTTCAAAACAGAAAGGCAGGTAATTTTTGTTCTCATCTACGTCGATGACATAGTCATAACAGGCAATGACAAAGATCTAGTGAAAGGTTTTATAAGTTCACTTAACAAGAAATTTACTATAAATGATATGGGAAGATTGCATCACTTTCTTGGGATTGAAGTTGTATGGCATGACTCTGGCATTCACCTCACCTAATCAAGATACATTACTGACTTAGTAAAAATGTTTGAGATGGAGAATTTAAAATCGTGTCCTACACCAATTCCTACTGGCAAAACTATCTGCAAGACTGGTGGTGAAATGTTAATTGAACTTTCAATTTATAGAAGTGCAGTTGGGGTCCTGCAATATCTCTCACATACAAGACCAGACAATACCTTCATAGTCAACAAGTTAAGCCAATTTTTGCAAATTCCAACTTCGATTCATTGGCAAGCTTTGAAGAGAGTTCTGAGATACCTCAAAGGCACTATAAATTATGGCTTATGGATCCAGATGAGTAACAGATTGAACTTAATTGGATACTCAGATGCTGACTGGGCTTCTAGTCCAGATGATCGAAGGTCAACAACAGGCTACTTTATCTATTTGGGTGATAATCTGATATCCTTGTCCTCTAAAAAGCAGCATGTAGTAGCTACTTCTAGCACAGAATCTGAGTACAGAGCCCTTGCCTCCACTGCTTCAGAAGTTGCATGGATTCAACGCTGTTTCAGGAACTTGGGCTATCTCTAGTTGGAATTCCAACCCTGTGCTATGATAACATGAGTGCAGGAGCACTTGCTGCAAATCCAGTATAGCACGCAAGAACGAAACATATAGAGTTGAACATCCACTTCATCAGAGATAAGGTGTTGGCAAGAAAACTTGAAGTGAAATACATACTTATCTTAGATCATATTGCTGATTTGCTAACAAAAGGATTAAGTCATTGAGGGTTTCTCTTTTTGAAAGACAAGCTTGGAGTCACTTCCTTGCCATCCAGCTTGAATAGGGTGTTAAGAATAATGGCTAGCTCCACTCACCATGGAGCTGGTGTTGCTATCCCCGTCCAGTAAGGAGTTGGTGGCTAGCTCCATTCACCATGGAGCTGGTGTTGCTATCTCCATCCAGCAAGGAGTTGGTGGCTAGCTCCATTCACCATGGAGCTA